TGAGTTTTCCATTAGAATTTCTGTTGGGTTTTGACGATTCCAACGGTGGATTTTCCAAGGGGGGTGGAAATAAAAATTTCAACGGAAATTGCATATTCCAACGGAAATTTTTACGGTAAAAAGCCGTTGGAAATATAGCCTTTGAAATCACCAAATTCCATCTAAAATTCCAATGAAAAACACATTCCAACAGAATATTTCCGTTGGAACCATTCCAACGGAAACTATACCATTGGAATATACGAAAACTATACCATTGGAATATTCGTTGGAATTTCCATTGAAATATATTACCATAGGATTTCCGTTGGAATATAACAATTTTTTTGTAGTGCATGAAATGACAAATAGCTTTAATCACACCAGTAATTTATTAGTAGTAGAATAAAATTACAATAAGATTAGAAAAGCAAATACAATGTAACCCATGAAATGACAAATACCTTCAATCACAAAAGTAATTTATCTGTCTGAATGATTACCCTTTTCACATTTCTAAAGCTAATCAAAGAAGAATAGGATTCATTATGTGTCCAAGTTAATTGCATGATTGCTTGGAGTTACACTTTATGATACTTGTAATATTTACTTGGAGGATCCAGTAGCCTAAAAAGCAATAGAAATGGCCCATTTTATTATCATCAAAATCCGAGCATATATGGTTGATTGTGAAAGATTGGGGCCAAATCATTAGCTTAATCAAGTATAAACACCAATTTGGGCAAACCCCACAGGTGCATTATTGCATGAATTAAACATTTTGTGTGTGTTGTCCAAATGACTGGAGGAATAATTAAATATTATATATAAGTCAACCAATCAAGAAGAAGAATTGGGTTCAAAGCACCTTTCAATCATGTGCAAAATAATTGCATTTATCAAAAGCCACAAATTCTTTTTAGTGATTATTGTTATTCAATATTAGACTAAAGTGTTACATTTATTTTATATAAAAAAGTTTTTTTATATTATAAGAACTTTAGTTGCTGTGTTGGACTATAAATAGGATAGATTAAGGTTAGCAAGACATAATGTCTCTAGCATTTTTTGAGCCTAAAAGGAATCACTGTGTAGCACTACGTGCCTTTAGACGTTACAAAGCTTACTCTCTTCCGGTTCTCAACTGCCAAGGGTATTTGATTGTATCCCTTAGAGGCGTATATCATACTGACCAGCTTGCATCCCACCGTAATGTAGACGAGTTGGTCTACTCATGGTAACGAGTAGTGGTCTTTCGGGCAGACTTCGTCAAGGTCTCTGAAGTCAATGCACATCCGCCACTTGCCTTCGCCCTTCTTGGCCATTACTAAGTTGGACGTCCACTCCGAAAATTGAATAGGTTGTATGTGACCTGCTTTCAAGAGTTTCTCGACCTCTGCTTTGATTACTAAGTCTAGTTATGCAACGAAGTGCCTTCTCTTTTGCTTCAATTCACCAGCTTCACAGTCGGTCGATGTTCAATCTATGTTAAGCAACCTCTGGACTTATGCCTGTTAGGTCGTCTGCTTAAAATGCAAAAATATCTGCATATTCTCTTAATGGAGTGATGAGGTCATCCCGAATATCCTCATGAAGATGTCGGCCCATCTCGTTCATCTTTTCCACTTCTTCTCTGACGATCTTGATTTCCATGAACTCGTCATGAGATGAGATTTTCAGCTTCTTCGTTTTTCTTTCTCTACTCGAACTCTCTGGCTTATCAAAATCTCGAACTCTTTTCCTTCCCTGGACCTCCGAAGTTTTTATCATCGTCAGATAGTATGACTTAGCTTGTCGATGGTCTTCAACCGAGAATTTTATCTTCATACAGTAGGTCGAGACAACTTCTTGGAGCGAGTTGAGGCTGGGGCGTCCTAGAATGATGTTGTACGTTGAGCTAGTATCCACTACTAGAAATCTAACCATCCCGACCTTCCTCAGGGGCGACCTCCATAGCGCCACAGGTCGGCACACCTTGTCTACTGGCATGACTTCGTTTTCATACCCATAAAGAGTTGTATACACTGGTTCAATTTTCACATCTAGATCCATTTGTCTTAAACACTGGTAGCAGATAATATCGATGGAGTTGTCTATATCAACCAACATCCTCTCAACATCATAGCATGTGACCTCGACAATGATCACCAAGGCGTCACTGAGTGGGGTAGAGACCCTTGCGCAACTTCCGACACGAACTTGATCTTGACTTCAAGTTGCTGGCTATGGACCTCTGCGACCTCTTTGTAATCTCCTTGCCACAATATTTTCCCTTTCTCTCATTGCGGGAGTCTTCGCTGTGGGACCCCACGATCATCTGTATTATGCCCCTCTTGGGTATATCCTCAACTTCATTAGGTCGCTTTAGTTGCTCTCCAACTTCATAATTGTCTTTATTCTCCTTATCTTTCAACACGATCTCTTTTGAATTCTCAACTCGAATGAGTCGCTCAATCTCGTCTTTAAGCCTCTGCATCTATTGGTCAAATAACCATAATCTTTGTGATATATGTAGTACGGATCACCTCGCTCAAGCAAAAATCCTCTCTTCCTCGGATGGGTTTTTGGTAGGGAGAGAATCCTCGCATCTCCTCGCTTCTCAAGGACCTCGAACACCTCTTTTTGCATCACAACCAAAGACGAATACTGCCCGTGTCTAAATTCTGCCTTGGGGTGCTCTTCCGACCTTGACTCTCTGTTCAGATAATTCTTGTCAGTTAAATGGAGTTTCTTCTCCGCTTGTTTGACCTTAGTCTTACCATTTGATAGGAAGTCGACTTCGGCCTCCTCCATGTTGGCGTACTTATTATACCTGGTCAGAAGCTCGTCAAAAGACTTCACTAGCCTATTTGGTAATGAATCTCTGCACTTTTATTTAGGGTGAGGGGACCTCCATGCATTATTTAGTGTAACGAGCTACATACTCATAAAGTTTGACCTTCTTTTTGTTGTATTTTGATCCAACAAGTATGCCTTCTCATGCTTCCTTGTACTCAAGAGCTGGTTAACGAATAGAGAGTTAAACCTATTAAAATTGTATAAAGACCCAATCGGCAATTGGTGGAACCAATCCTGTGCCCATCCCTTCGACGTGGTGAGAAAAACTCTACAACAGATTTCAATCGTTGTATCAATGAAAAACTGCCATGTTCTCAAATGACCTGAAATGTCTGACTGGATCTATCGAGCCGATATAAGATAGGCTCAAATTGCTAAAATTTGGGCAAATTTGTTGCTATTTTTTCGATCTTGGCTTGCAACTCTCGTAGTTGGGTCGCCAACCTCTCAAGTGTGGGATCTTGAACTGACCGTGATATAGTAGTAGTTGACGGTGCTGACCTCGTCTCTACTTCTTCCAGACTATGTTGGGGCTGGGGCTACAGTTGTTGTACCAATGGGTTTGCTTGACTTGGCACCCGTTCTCGGACCACTACCTTTGACACCATCCTGCCCAATTCAGCATGTGTTAAATGGATAATCTAATCTCCTCTGGGAACCTCATGTTCCCTGAGGTTCACCATTCCCCTTGACCTGTCCTTGAATTCCATCGAGATACAAATTGCCTTATTGGTCATTTTCGGTATCTTGGGTTGCTACCTGTCTTTGCATCCCCTGGCTATCCAAATCCTTTCGGGCTACCACCGACTCCTACACCATGGAGGTCTCCTTAATGTGTTCGACACTGAGGTTAATGTCTTCGGGGTGCCAACAACGTCTCCCGCGGCATGAGAAGTGCACTAGATGATTTCAACAAGCCCGATGGAGGACTTGATCCATGCATTCGCGACGTCCACTCTGTGTCCAATTTTTTGATTAGGTTCTAGCTATCTCCTACCATGATCTTTGATCTCCTTAAAATCTTTTTTTATTACTATTTTTTTTGTGAGAAAAAAACTTGTTAGTCTTTTTATAACCGGTAAAAGACTAAATTTTTTCTCACATACGAAGCCAATTGTATGTGCAAATTTCTAAACCAGGTTGAACCGCAACATGAACGACCACCAATCTTTGAGCTCCGGGAGTCTTCAATGCACTGGGAGGGATACTGACACTCAAATCAGTGTACACACGAGGGAGAAGACTATAAAAAGTATGTGTTTGAGTAAATATGAAAACGTGATCAAGTATGTCATTTTGAACATGGTTACCCTTATTTAGCAGGGTAACTTACCATGTAAGAGAGTCTTCCTATGAAAGAGATCTAATAAATCTATGCTTCGAACTTACTATCCCTCTAGATCTTATTGAGATACAATTTCCTATATCCCAGGATCCTACTTCATTTTCTTATGGCACTCAGGTATGTCGGTCTCAACCCTGACCTCTCGACCTACCTTTCATCAGTTTGTACCAGGTTGATACCTCGACCTCCACCTTTATGAAACGAGGTCACTGCATGTAATCAAGCTCTTGGAGGTTCCCGACCTACAGACCGGTTTTATCAGGTCAATCGACATCCTGAGTTGCATCAGTGAGCTCCCTCACTAGGTCGGAGAGCTAATACCGAGCCTAAGTTCCTTTGAATTGATCTGACCTGAGCTGATCACCCTTAACCGATTCACCGAACTACTTCAAGTGTTATATCAAGAGTGAAAAAGAAGAAAGGAAAGAGAGTTACGATTTTTTTTTTTTTTTTTTCTAGTTATGGCTCTGGTACCATGTACGAATCTAAATGAATTTCCCTCGCCTAGGGTTGCTCTATATTTCACAATATATATGTCAATCTTCAAAGGAGTCTTGTTGTCCAAGTATACATAATATTACCTAAATATATGTATACTATAAATTAATATTAGCTCAATATTATTGCTTATCAATTTATTTATTGAACAAGTAATGCATGCCACATTAACATAAAACAACTTTCTTATATAATCTATGTATAGCAAAATTCTCATATTAACAAAACTGGCTCTGCCTTCCTATTTTGATTGCTCTACTTACTTTGATTCGTATTCATACCAAAATCTGTACATCATGGCCACAAACTCAGTTACAATCTGTATTTGATCTTGTTCGGATTATTGTTCGGTTTTACAGAGACTATTGTCCTCATCGATTTTGTTCGGATTCATTGTGCCTGCTATGTACTCGACACAGTCGATCATGCTACTATTGTCGACATGAGCCTGCATTACGTCAAAAGAAAAAGCATTACTTAAAAGGGACATCTATCGTGAAATTTTAACGAGTGACTTCCGTTTATGTAAATTCGAAGATTTGATCATGTAGAGTTCAGTGATGCTGCTAAACGTATAAAATTACCGACAAACGTTCTATGTACCAAATATTGTATAAGTGAAATGGAAACTGTACTCACAGATTTTCTAATTTAGATTTTTACTAAATTTGTACCAAAACTGTGTGGTTTTAAAGTTCAAATAAATCCGTACCCTTGGAGCCATTTTCTCGAGCATTTTGGTATCTGAAAACCGCGTTGAACGACTTAAACCACCAGATTCAAGAGGCTTATCGGGAGCTAATCCGTAAGTCTGCAGCCAAGGATGACCTGCAATGAAGTGATAGCCAGCTTCCAAAATAAACCGGTCGGTAAAAATAAAACTTTAAGGCCTAAAACAGAGGAGGGCTCAAAAGTGTGACTATATTATTACAAACCAGTAAGAAAGAACAAAATGCATCATATAAATTTAGATCAGACGCCATTTTTTAACTTACGGAGAATTTGTTGTGCGGTTATTCGCCTTTTCGGATTCCTCACTAGCATTTTCTTCACTAAATCCTTTGCACATTCAGAGATATTCGGCCAAGGGTCGGAAGAGAAGTCGATATTGCCATTCAAAACCTTTCTGAATATTTCTTGGTCGCTCTCTATACCGAAATAAAGCACGATAACATAACTCATTAGAATCCTAAGAAATCAAAAGCTCACAAAATAAATTTTTATTTTTCTTTCAAAAGAATCATATTATTATTTATTACCACCCCAAAACGGGAGAACGCCGCATAGAAGTATATAGACTATAACGCCGGCACTCCAAATATCGGCCTCCGGTCCATAATGGTCACAAAGCACTTCAGGAGCTATGTAATGAGGGCTCCCCACTACTTCACTGAATTTTATCCCTGAAGATTTTTCGAGCTGAATCATAATGTTCGTTTATGAATTGTTCAAAGTATATAATAGCCTTTTACAATAAAAAGGCTCCATGTAATAAATACCTGGCTTAAAGAAAACGGACAAACCGAAATCTATCAACTTCACGTCCGAATCCTCGTCCTCGTCAACAAACAAGAAATTCTCGGGCTTCAAGTCTCGATGCATGACACCTAGCGAATGGCACCTCTCGATTACACCGACTATCTTCCTAGTAAGCCCGGCAGCTTTTTCCTCCGAATAAAAATCCCGCTCGAAAATCCTTTCGAAAAGCTCTCCCCCTCGACAAAGCTCCATAACTACATGAACCGCCACTGCATCCTCGTAAGCGCCCACGATCGACACAATGTCTCGATTTCCCGCCAGGTGGCGCATGATCTCGATCTCTCGCCTCACGCCTCGCACGTCCTCTTCTGTTACGAGCCTCCTCTTCGCGATCGATTTGCAGGCGAATTTTTTCCCGGTTTTCTTTTGCGTGCAGAGGAATGTCTTTCCGTACTGGCCACGGCCGAGCTCGTCACCCAACGTGTAGTGCTCTTTGAAGTATCCTCCTGTTTTGGAGTCGAGTATGGACTCGGCTCGAAGGCCAGCGCTCATTAGTTTCTTAGCATTAGTTGGGTTTTTTGGCTTAATGGCTGGCTGTAATTGTTTCGTGTCTCGACTTTTGATCTCCATCGTTTGAGGAGGATTATGATGAAAACCGGTAGGGGCTACGCGGCTTTTGGCTTTGTTGGCGTAAGCCATCGTGTCGAAAAATCCATCCTCGGGTTTTTTCCAATTAGGACAATTGTTTCCCATTTGTTTAAGCCCAAACCTTTCGAATTCTTCGTGATATAGGAGTTGAGTTGACTAATGAAATAACATAAATATCAAGAGAAACATATATATATATACAAACACATAGCATGTGTAGGATCATGAACCAAAGAGAAAAGACCATCAAAGAAAAAAAAAAAAAAAAACCGGCCAAAGAAAAAGTTCAGATCTTCGGTTTTACTCTGTTTCGAAACGAAGCCTCGGACGAGGAAAAACAGGGACAAGGCCCGAAGATCTTAAGAACCCATGCAGAAGAAAGTCATTAACACATAAAACTAGGATATATCTGAGAAAAAGTCTACAAAAGCTGAGTGCAAAACGTAGAGAAAAACAGTGTAATGAGAAAAATCAATCAAGAATATATAAAAAATGTGCTGTCCTGTTTACCAAGTCCAGTTTTGTTTATCCATCTTACGTGCTGTGAACGTTCATGTTGTTTTTGTGCTGAAACGTAGTTTTTGGTGGACTATACTAAAAGGGTTTTCATCTCTCTCTCTCTCTTTCTCTCTCTCTCTCTCTCTCTCTCTCTCTCTCTC